TGATCCTGGATCAGGGGCTGAGGGCTGTTTGGAGGCTGGCCACAGCCCCTTCAGGGTGGGGTTTCCTGCTAGGGTGCCTGGCCAGCCTGGGTGAAGGGCTGATGGCTGTTTGCAGGCACCAAACTCCCTGTGGAAGCTGGCTGGAAACAGGTATCTGGGATTTATTTGTCTTCTATAATGGAAACTTTGTTGCCATGAGCAGAGTCTTCAGCCGGCTCAGGGCTGGTGGGAAGCTTGGCTTTCTCTATCACCCGGGCAACCAAGCCTCGGGCTTGCTCCAGCTCTGTGGCTGCCAGCCGCCATCTTGGTTGGGTTAATTTGCATACAGTCGCTCTGATTGGCTGGGGGACATGGCTTAGGGCATAGGGAAGGTATGGTCAATTAGCATCTCTGTCTTTTATTAGTGTAGATATATATAGACAGACTAAGGCCTGGTGCATGAAATTTGTGCACTGAGGGGGTGTCTCTCAGCCTGGCCTTTGCCCTATCGCAGTTGAGGAGCCCACGTGGGATGTCCAGGTGATTGACAGGCCTGGGGGAGCAGTCCTAAAACGGCAGCCGGGCATCCTTAGTACTGCCACAGAGGCTATGAGCCTGGCTTCTGACTGAATGGTGCTCCCCCTGTGGGAGTGCACTGACCACGAGGGGGGCAGCTCCTGTGTTGAGCATCTGCCCCCTGATGGTCAGGGCACATCATAGTGACCAGTCGTTCTGCTCTTTGGTCTATTTGCATATTAGCCTTTTATTATATAGTATGATTTTTGTTGATGAAAGTTAGATAGTCTGGGTATAATTTGAAAAACTAATTGATGTTTAGACTAAGCCAGTGGTATACTTTAGCCTAAAGAATTTCGTGATAATAGTACCTTCTGAGAACTTCACTAATGCTGGTTTCCAAATCTTCTTTCTATTGACACCTCAGATCCTCCAGCTGAGCCTAATCAAATGCCACCTCTTCTACCTCAGAAGCTTGTTTTCCTTAACAGTTTACAAGCTCTCTTTTCCATTCTACTAATATGTTCTTACTTAATTATTTTAGAAATTCTCCCACTAATATTTTGGAACTAAAATTGGGCAATAACAATTGTGATGATAGCTATGATTGATAGAGGCTTTATTGCATGTTCAATATTAGCTATGTTTTTTACAGGCATAGTGTCATTTATCCTATGCATAAATATGATATGGTTCCTCATTTCTAAAATAATATTGAAAGAAGTTAAATCATGTATCTAATAAGTATCAAGTAAGTATCAGAGTCTGGAATCAACTATTAGTCCCATTCTTAAGGCTATACTACATTGTTTCTCTAAATTCTTGGCTTAAAACTCAACCAAGATGAATCAGACCTGTATTGATTAAAAGCTATCATTCAATGTGTTGATATGACAGGAGTTGGATGAGTTGAAATGGAGAAATGGTAAAGAGATATTATAAAATATCAAGCAGAAAAATAAAAAATGAGTTATATTTTAAGACATAGATTTTATTAAAATATAGACCGTGGATTTGCCTAAAAGAAAAGATACCGCTACACATGTACTTCATGTTCAAACAACAATAGCATATGAAAATCCAAAATTATAAAAACAGATAAGTCATAAATATTATTTTTGTATTGCCTAAGAATTTATCTCATCACAATAGGATTCACCCAGAATTTCTCCCTCTATGAATTTAAGATGTTAGATATATCAGCTGTTTACAAAGGAGCTAAGATATGTGCAGAGAAACTAAGTATTGCTAAAAGCTAATAGATATTAAGACATTAAATACCAAAAATTTAGTCTATAAATGCAATTTAAATACAAATTTTCAAGGACATCCATGATTGTGGAACAAAGCAGGGTTTACTCTATTTCCATCCACTATTTAGTTAATGTAAAAATTACCTCAACCAGGCTACCCCAGAGGCTTTTAAAGAACTCCCCAAAAGGCAAGCACAATTTGTTAAAAGAAAATAAAAGATCTCAACTGGTTTATATCTACAGAGAACAATTTCCAGTGACAAAATTTTGAGACAGATGAATATGCTTGCAGTCCAATAGATGGATGAACACAGACTTGATTATGGTGAATCATGCTTATGTGATATTCTTTGCGGGGGGTCGGGGGGGAGGCGTATCTCCACAAAAAAAAGTTGTATCTTTTTAGGAAGGCAAACTATTGACATACTTTGGGTAGCTAATCCGCAAGACACATTAATATACAGCATATGAAATGCATTTTCCCTTGGGCAAGGAGAAGAGAATCTATTGCATATGTCATCTGTTTCTGTGAATACTGAAGATTACAATTATGTTTTGATGTTAATCCAACTACTGCAAATTTCTTGTTGCAAAGCACACAGTGAAAATGTGAGTGACAATATAAATCTTTTTAAATTGAATTCAACACTATTGAAAAGAGCTGATGTTTTCAAATACTGATACAAAGCCTCTGAACAACAAGAATAACTCTCTAAACGAAGCAGCTTCCTATAGTGACTTAGTTGATAAGAAAGACAAATAGCCAGGATAAAATCAAATTCTGCATGTCTGCTATATTGTGTGTGTCTGGGATGGGGGGGGTTAGATATTTTAGAAATAATTACCTGTAATGACTTGATGTCCTCATAAGCAAATTGAACACTGGGAACTCCAAGGTAGTTGATGAAATAATCCGCATCACCTTGTATTTGTATGGAACTGACATTGGATTCTGGGCACTGTGCTCTTCTGAAACAGTTGAGAATATTTTTCTGAAAAACATAATTTACATGGTTAGCACGAACTCAGCTTCTCAGGGCATCTCTAAAGGAATGCCACTCCAAGTGTGGTCCATAGGTCAGCAGCATGGATGTCACCCGGGATCTTATTCAAAATACAGATGCTCAGGCTCCACCCATGCCCTCCTGAATGGGAACCTCCAGGATGGAGCCAGGAATCGGTGTTGTAACTCTCTTCTATGATTCTGGATTCCGATGCTCACCAAGTGTGACTAGTGCTGGTCTAAATCTAACTGCTTGTTCTTGTTGCTTCAAAGCATTTTTTATCATGGAATTATTATAAGCCATCATAACTTTAATTTGATGAACAAAAACAGATCCAGAGACAGAGAAACATTGATCAGACCATCAAACCTCAGAGGGAAGGTAGGGGAGGGTGGGGGTAAGGGGGAGAGATCAACCAAAGGACTAGTATGCATGCATATAAGCCTAACCAATGGACACAGACAACAAGGGGGTGAGGGCATGAGTGGGGGGGTGGGGAAAATGGGGGGATAAGGACACATATGACACATATGTAATACCTTAATCAATAAAGAGATGCAAAAAAAAAGAAGGTTGAGTCCTTCAAAAAGGTCCAGTTTTACTGTTCTTTTTGTTTTCCCATTAATTTAAATCTAAAGGATGGTTTGATAGGACACAATTCCACTTTTCTAAATATGTTTTGGGGTTTTTTTTTTTTTTTGGAAAACACAGAAGGAATTTTTTCCATTTCTTCTTAAAAGCATATTCCCACACATTTGAGGAATATATGACATCAACTCTGTGGGACAATAAGAAACTCTAGGGAAATATATAAGGGGATAGGATATTATTTCTTACACTAAGAGTTGTCTAGAATGCACAACAAATATGAGTGCGCAATAGCATGAGAACACTTTGTCTAATAGGCAGATAGTACAGTTGTTTGTATGGAAAATAATACAATCTATAATAATAAAAGCATAATATGCTAATTAGATCAGACGTCCTTCAGGCGACCTTCTGGACGAAGCCAGGCTGCTGGGGAAGCCCAGGTCCTGGGTTGCAGAGGGAAAACAGTGCCAGCAGCCAGGGGAAGGAAGACCTACTCTTGCACGAATTTCATGAATCAGGCCTCTAGTAATTAATAAATAGTACTACAAGAATAAACTGTTTCACGTGGTCACAAGTGTAACTTTTGCCCCAACCTGAATGTCCTCCATACACATTTGCTATTGAATAAAAAATCACTGGATGCCTCAACCTCCCTCCCCATCTTTCTTTGGCATAATACAATTTCAAAAATACTTTTGAATATAATATATGCAAATATTTAAATATGTAGTTGAATATTCATAGAACAATTTTTTCCACTTTTCAAGTAAAATGCCAGATTTTTCAAACCCATAATAATGTTTCAAGATCTATTCAATATTCTTTGAGAGTCTAATAGAAAGATCTTTGTAACAAATTAAAATCAATTAAAATGGAGACCCTGAGTATTTATAAACATGACAAGGCATCACCTTAAATTATTTACAAATAACTTGGATAATTAAGCACTTTGCAAAAAGAAACTAAAAAGAGAGTCCTACATTATAGACTAATCAGTAACAACCTAATGCTTTTTATGGTTAATCTCACCAATTTGCTTCTTTTGAAAGCCCGGTTTTCTGAAAATAGAGTTAATCCTTTTTCACTTCCTGATAGTCTACTGGGGTGAAGATTCCTAGAGTTCTTATACCTGGAAATGTTTAGGTAAGATATTAAATATTCCCAAAGAAGAGCTACCCTTAGTACTAGATAATGAAAATAAAAGCAAACAAACAAACAAACAAACTACTTTACTAGTATATCATTTTAAAAATACCAAGTAGTACTGAGAGATCCAGGTGTTAAAAAAATTGGCTCCTGGGAAGGAATTTCTTTAGCCAGAATGAATGTGTTTAAATTTAACTTGAATGTCTTGGTCAGGCGAGTTTTTGACCAATGTCCCATCACGAGTGTCACACTCAGCCTGCTTCACTCATTCAAACCATGGCCAGAAGCATTGGCGTTTGTGAAACCTAAACAGTTGTACTCCTCAATATTATTAATAAAGATTTCATAGAATCTAGTCTTTTCTTTCCCCAGATGTCTATCCAATGAAATTAATAATATTTTAAGTGATCTTCTTTGCCTTTACTGCAGCCGCATCTATATCTTTTTGAGACATCTTACATATTCTATTCAACCTCAATAAAAATACAGGTTTGTTTTTAATGTAATTTTGCCTACATCATTCTTAATATCCATTGCAAATGCCAACCACATTCCTTACAAATAACTGTTTTTCTCACAGAATAATTACGTGGCTCGAAAACTGACAATTTTAAATTCTACAATATGTTTCTGTGAAAGAATTAAAATTTTAAAAATAACATACATATTATTTGTATAAATATAATATTTATATTATTTTTATTCAGTCATAACTATTATAGCTTCCCTCTGACAAAAAGTATTAGCTTTCCATATATGCAAGTTCCTAAAAGGGCACAGTGACCCCATTCCAATCAATCCTTGTGTTCTTTGTCTGATGTAGTAGTTACACAAGATCAGTTCTTATTCACCCTCATCTTGGAATTGGTTCAGGGCATTCTATCTGAAGCCAGTACAAATTCTCTTCTATTCTCTCTGCTTGCCATGGCTACTCCCATTATACACCTTTAATATTTTCATTGCATGCCATGATCTCTGACACCTTGATGTAATGATTAGTGCATTATTTCTTCCAGGTTTTATGATTTTTAGACAAGCCAAATAGGCAATATCCAACCTTTAAGATGATATACCCTAAAATATTTCTGCATTCTTTTCTCTAATCTGACTTGCTTTTATTAACTCATTTATTGAAAAGTCTTGTCTCTGAAGTTTCATATTGCCACCTTGTCCTATATAATAAAAGGGTAATATGCAAATAGACCGAACATCAGAACAACCAAACAACCAATCAAAGTGTAATATGCTAATAATATGCAAAGGCTGCTCAACTGCTTGCTATGACCTGCACTGACCACCAGGGGGCAGATGTCCCAATCAGTAGGTTAGCTTGCTGCTGGGGTCCAGCCAATCAGGACTGAGAAAAATGGGTTGGACATGCTTTGGAATCCTTCCATGGTCCCTCCCAGGCCTGATCGGGAACCGTTGGGGTCCCTCAGCCTGGCCTGAGCCCTCTTTCAATCTGGGACCCCTTGGGGGATGTCAAGGGAGCTGGTTTCAGCCCAATCCCCCAGGCTACTCCCCTTGGGAGGGTGCCAGACACAGGGCTTATGGCTGGCTAGTGCTGCTGTGGCAACACAAGCCTCTCCTGATAGGGGCTGATTGGGCGTGAATCTGAGGCATGCACAGTGGGGCTAGGATGAGCAGGAGCGACAGGTAGCAGCTGAAGGCAGCAATGGACTGCAGGTTTCAGCCTGATTCCTGCAGGCTACCCAGAGGGATCCCACATGTGCATGAATTCGTGCACCGGGCCTCTAGTTCTTACATAAGCTCCTTTGATAAACCAAGTAAGACAGCAACAGAGCATTAACTAGAATTGTTTTCAAATTATATTTTGAAGGTTAGGGCTGTTAAACCACATCTGTGGGACTACATGTGTACGATTTATGGAGAGAGAATAGAGCACGAAAAACAGGGTTGAGTGGCCTGAGGGATAACTGAACCTATAGCTGGATACAGTTGGATATTGAGCCTCATGACAGAGTTAAACCCTCATGAAAGGTATAAGCTTCAAGAAAATCCATTCAACATTGGAACCTTTGTGAATAACACAGAGTTCCCTGAAAAGTCTTCCTGGGCCCTGTTCCCTATCAACTGAGGCCAGAGCATCTCTGTAAAGTCATGCAGAGAGGACTTACCTCATCAGCGTCTCTCTCTCTCCTCTCTCTCTCTCTCCCTCCCTCCCTCCTTTCTCCACCTCATTTTCTATTGCCTACTCTTCTCATTTAACCAGTGATGAGGAGAGGACACATGTGGCCCTCTCAACCCTGTGTTTATTTTATTCTTTTGTGCTTTTGTTTCTATCTAGCTTCAGAGTAAAATAGTCAGAATAAAGAAAATCCAATTTATAGATTGGAATTGCCCCCTAGCCCTCGACCATCATTATATCTAGAGATTTCCCTTAAGAGAGGAGCATTCCTGATACAGAAACCTTGTACTCTAAATCTTTTTATTATTCCTTACTTTAAAATTTAGGCCAAATTCACAAGCCTCAAGTGATCCTAAATCTATATTCTATCCTAATGGGAATTGTTTTCCCACTTAGCACTTCAGTGAATTATAATAGATCTATATCAGTTCATAGACAGTGATCTACTCAACCTCTGTAAGCACTAATATCTGAGATGGAAGTAGAAGTAAATATCAATTTCATCCATTTTACTAGAAGTTAGTCACCATGGGAAAGAGAAGGTTAGCAACAAATTTGTACGGGTGAATTAATTTTTAAAATCTATTTACAAGGCTGGGTACATTCAAATTAAGTATTCCATCCAAGGGGTTCAGATGCTCCATACTTAATGTTTGATAATAAGCATTTTTATTCCAGTTCATAAAATAAGCAAGTTCAGGCAAAGATTGCAGTTATGTTCCTGGTTTAATTTTCTATCACAAGTGTCTTGAAAACCTGAAATGAAATCACTATCCTAAGGCTGCCTTTTTGGCTAAAAGGAAAACCTGATAGTAACTGGTCATATGAGTTAATATAAAGAAACAAAATTAAATTTGCACTGGTTGAGGAGCAATACCAAGACACATTGACAAGTTTCTCAAGTATTTAAAAATCATATTTCAGTTATTGTGAATAACTCACCCCTAATTTGAAAAGATGACAGTTATGAGATAATTTGCTGAATTTTGTTGTTTAATGTTTTAGTTTTAGAAAGCTTACATACTGCTAAAATGAAAATGTGTGTGCTTTAATACTTACATAACTTGCAATTTGATATAATCGGTTTCCCTTGTAAACCTGT